GCGACTACTATGACTTTTGTTTAGATTTCTTAGGCTAATAAGTAACCTATCTAAAATTCACTTTTTGCATTATGCTGAACCGTGTCGGTTTAATCGTGAAAATTTGAAGAAACATAACTTCTTTATACGATCGAATTTACATGCTCTATATATCTACGAAAATCATATTGATGTTCTCTATATATTTACGATGCTTATTTTGGCTCAAAGTAATATATTTATACTTACTATTTCACAATAATAGCTTAATGAATATACAAAACTAGGTTATAACCCGTGTGTTACACAGTTGACATAAGTATTTTATATGATACGACACAAAATGTATTTAATAAATAATAATACAACTACAAACAAAAAATTATATATAATATTTCATGCAACTATGGACGAAAATATTATTGGTTTTAAAATTTTCATAATTTTTGGTTTGAATATTAGCCCTTTTATAATGCAATCTGATACTATTTTATTTAAAGGAAGGATTAACGGTTTTAAAATTTTAAAAATATTATAAAAACACTGTAGATTATGCTTGTATATTTGCAGAAATATTTGACATTTTGATTGAATAAAAAAATAGTGTACTATATTATAAAATAAGCAATTTTCAAAAGATGAAAAAAAACATGATGTTGATTTTTTATAAGCAATGGATGTTAGTAACAGTTGATGTTGGTCATATTGACTTGGTTTAAATATCACAGGTAAGAAATCAATTTATGCTCATGAGCCTTGTTACACAAATTTTGCAAGTTGATATAATCTAAAATGGCAAAAAGTCTACTGTCACCACAACTCATAAACAAATAGGTGTATCATGGACAAATATCCCTCATTTTAGACAAATTTTGCTTAAAATCATGAAATTTTGAAGAAATAACTTATCTAGTTAGGAAAATTTTGTTGTGGGTTTCAGTATTCTTTCATTAAAAGGTTCATTTGATGACTTATAATATGTTATTTTTGTCCTTTTTCAAGGCTGGACCAAAATGTCCCTGGTGCCATCTTGTTTGATTTTGGGGTTATGGTTGTTGTTGCTGTTTCTCTATTATTTATGTTGGATTTTAGAGTACCGTTTAACCTTCTATTTGTGGGTTGACGTATGGAAGTCCTCCTCTTTTTGGTCCAAATGTTGACCATTTTGCCTTTGGATTCGATTTGAGGAAAATGAGAATGAAGATTTCTGAATGATGGTATAATATGTTACAAAGTTTTCAAGTACAATGTTATTAGAGGTAAAATATCATAATATGCCATTTATAATATCAAAAAAGCACCATGAGGAAACTACATTGTTATTAGAGGTAAAGTATGTCAAATATGGTAATTATCACGTTTCACATATTTGACATTTGCGCAGTACAAACAGACATAACAACAAACAAAGATAGATATTGTGAAAGAGTTATCCATATGTACAATTGTTTATAGCAGAAAGTACACACAACCCAATAACTTCAGTTATAGTGTAACCAATTAAGTTTACCATTATACCCCCATTCCTATTTTGTTCCGGACTTTTATGTATTTAGAGATCCTCTTTCCTTTCATGCACCTTTTATTAATCAAACACCATAACATCTTTCCTTTCCAGCTTGTTTTTTTGAGGAACTTTCTAAACGAAACCATAAATCGTTAAGAATAGGACTTACTTTAGTATGAGAGCACGAGTAGAAAATTTTATCCTTAAAAGAGCCAAAACGCATAAGTCATGTATGGAGGCAATGATGGGCAAAAGAGAAAAAAAAACTTTTTTTTTAACAAATTGGGGCATAATTCATGAAACATTTACATTAAATAACACTAAAACGAATGAGATGTTACCCACGAGGAGCAGAATCGTTATCAGCGAAAAATCAGATTTTTTTTGAATCATTGTGGTGACCTGGAACTGATTCTTCTGCTAAAAAAGAGATCTTCGTATCTGCACTTGTTCCTTTATATCCCTACATCCGATATTATATCAAATTAGAATAGATTGAATAATGGATGCACATAATAAGCCTACGAAAACCTCAAATTCCACATGTTAAAATTAAAACCAAAATATGTAGCTAACAAATCGTTTAAGAAGAGCTTTGTTACTTACATTCAAGTAAATTTATGATAAAACTAACAGTAATAAAACTGAAGAGGGGAACCAGTAGCTATGGGAAAACTGTGAGATTTACCTAATTATTGAAGAAATTAAACCTTGAAACACCTAGATTTAAGAAATAATGGATAAGAAATTAGAGTGGATTTTGGTGACTTGCTGATGACCGGAAGGAGAAACGATGCAGCATAATAAAATTACACATAAAATAAAGCACCATAAAAATTTAGGTTAAGATATGTGGAGAAGAGCGTATTCTGAACGGGAAATAGAAGAGACAAAGGTTAATGACTGTTTCTCATTTTTTTTTCTTGATTTTAAGGTATTAGATTCATGATTTGTTGTGATACGATAGATTGTTTCAAAATTTAGCTACTGATTTTAAGGTATTCAAGAATTATTGCATGGGCGGGAAAAAGTTAATTTCAAGATGTATAAAGCTGCCATGTGGTAGGAAGAAGCTGTATAAATGACACGTGGCATTTCAAAAGAGTCTTTCATTAGGATTGTAGATTAGTAAAATTGAGATGTTACATGAATCAACCGCTGAACAAGGAACAAAGGAACCCATGAGGGGGTGGTATGGAGCCGTAGGCGTGAATTTGGAATTTTGGAATGGAAGAATTAAATCAATGCATGATAGTAGGTACAAGAGAGACATTACTTGGAAAGTCAATGATTTTGGACTCTAGTTTAAGAGTTTTGAAATTGAAAGAAATAAACACATTTTTGAAAAGATTCTCCATTTATTTATTATAACTAATACATTACATATATAAATATTAGTATTACATATGATATTTTAATTTATGAAATTTGAAATAAACAAGAAATTTATATGTGGATATTATTTATTTCAAATAAATGTAAAAATCATAAAAGATTAAATGTTACATGAATATATCTTGATTTATTAGAGATGTATTGGTGTTTATAAAAAAAATGGACGAAAACCACAAACCTATATATCTACTATAATAAATAAAGATCAATTTTACCACATCTCAGTCTCTTATTAGTTTTGATATTTGTCATTTTGTAATATTTTTAAAATAAATAATATCTATATGTTAATTTCCTGTTTTTTTAATTTTTAAAATTAAAAAGCTACATAATACTTATACTTATATATATGTAAAAAAAATATTAAATGTAATAAATATGATAATAATAAACATGTCTTCTTTCCGTATCTTGTAATTTTATTTTCAAAAATACTTATTATTTACACTTTAATATTTAATGATTTTTATCAACCCTATAATATACACACCTAATGCATAGTTAACTTGTTATTTAAGAAAGAACTTTTTTTCATAATCAAAGTAGTTTGAGTTGGCATGAGACATAAATAAATCAATAAAAAAATTTCTAACGTGGGTATAGTGGGTGGTGCGGAGGCGTCAAAAAGTCCTTTAAATGGAAGTCAAACATCCCCGTTCAAGTCTTTATATTCCCGTCAACATCGAATTAGGAGTTTCCTTAATTAAAATATCCATAGTTAATTACCCGAATGAAAACCAAGTTCTACCAAACCCAAACCCAAATATCAGTAACCACATAAATCCAAGAAAGCTTATCGTATTATAATTATTTATTGCTTCAGCAAGGATTTTACTATACATTACCATCTTCTTCATGATCTAAGATCTACACCCACCATTTCAAGAACACGTCAATGGAGGTTTATCCCATGTTTCTGTTATTCTACAGCACTATATTCTTTATCTTGTCAAGTTCTGCTGCAGTAGATACAATATCTGCAAATCAACCAATCAAAGATGGCAAGACTATTGTTTCAGATGGCGAGATGTACGAACTGGGGTTTTTTAGCCCTGGAAAGTCTACGAATCGATACCTGGGGATATGGTACAAAAAGATATCAACGGGTACAGTTGTGTGGGTCGCTAACAGGGAGACTCCAATTAGCGATACATCTGGCCGTTTTGAAGTTGATAGACAAGGAAACCTGCTGATTCTCAGTGGAAGTAATACGGTGATCTGGTCATCCAATACGACAGCATCTGTCAGGAATGCTAATCCTGTGGCACAACTTCTAGACAGTGGAAATCTTGTCGTGTGGGATGAAAGTAGCACTAAAGAAAACCCCATCTGGCAAAGCTTTGACTATCCTGGTAACACGTTGCTACCAGGAATGAAACTAGGGAAGGATTTGGTAAAAGAAAGAGAGTGGTCTATAACCACTTGGAAGAGCCCTGGTGATCCTTCTATAGGTCTGTATAAACTCAGGTTAGACGCAAATGGATATCCGCAGGTATTTGTGGGAGAAGGTCAAGTTGATAACTTTAGGCTTGCACCATGGAATGGTGTTGGGTTTCGGGGCATTCCTGTTGAAAACACGAATCCAATTTACTCCGTAGAGTTTGTTGTCAACGAGAAGGAAATATATTATAGATATGAACTAATAGGTTCGGTTTTTCAAAGGATAATTGTGATGTCGGATGGCATCCTACTGCATATGAGTTGGATCAATCGAACCCAACAATGGGTCGTGTATGGAAGTATAGCTGTTGATAGCTGCAGTCAGTATGGACGTTGTGGTCCTTATGGAAGCTGCTTCATCAAAACATATCCCCCTTGCAGTTGTATGGAAGGTTTTGAAGTAAAAGACCCTGAAGAATGGAATGTCGGAGATTGGTCTAGTGGGTGTCAACGTGAAACGCCATTGGATTGTGGGAGTAGTAGTACTGCAGGGGATGACTTCCAGAAAATTTCAGGCATGAAGTTCCCAGACACAAGACGTTCATGGTTCAACGTGAGCATGTCCCTTGGAGAATGTGAGATAGCATGCAGAAGTAATTGCTCTTGTACAGCTTACGCAAATTTAGATATCAGAAACGGGGGAAGTGGATGTTTGCTATGGTTTGATGAGTTAATGGACATGGGAGAGCACGATGATCCTCAAGAACTTTACATACGATTGGCAACCTCTAAGTTAGCAGGTACACATATTTTGATCCATATATATACAACAAACCTTATTGACCCGATATACAATATTGAGCCTTTTATAAATTATTCTATAGTCATACTCATTTTATAAGGAATCTAAAGAGAAAAAAGTTGTGTCCATATTGAGCAGGTTTAAATGTATTTGATTTCGTATGGTTTAACAGTTATCTTTGAAATGTAACATTCGAAATTATTGTATTCATAAACAAAAGGTCAATCCAGCTTTGACCGGAAGCATGGAGTACTGACTATTGTGCTGTGTGTTTCGTCGGCTGCACTCCTATTGTGTGCAGTAGTATATGTCTACAGAAAGAAAAAGAAAATGCCTCACAAGAAACGGCGAGGTAAAACAAACAAGCATGATTACCATTTACAAGTTAATCTTCATATGATTTTTTTGGTAGATTCATTTAATCAAGGGCAATTGAAATGAGCTTTTTGTAGAAGATGCACATACCTTTAATTATGAGGATGATACGAGTGTTCAGATGGAAAACCTTGATGAACTACCCTTTTTTAGCCAGCATAAAATAGTTAAGGCTACAAATAACTTCAGCAGTGACTATAAGATTGGAGAAGGTGGCTTTGGTCCAGTTTACAAGGTAACTTATGGATGTTTTGGTATAAAATGCATTATAAAGAAATATAAACAGGAATGTTATGATCATAAGCTCCAAAATCTATCTTTTAGGGTGTGTTGGAAGACGGACAAGTAATAGCTATAAAGCGGCTATCAGAAACATCCGAACAAGGGCTTGATGAGTTCAGGAACGAAGTCATTTGTATTGCCAAACTACAACATCGGAATCTTGTGAAGCTCCTTGGATATTGCATTCATGGAAAAGAAAAGATTTTGATTTATGAATATATGGATAATAAAAGCTTGGACACCTACTTATTTGGTTTAACTCTCTCTAGTGCCTTATTGTCATACTTTTTGTAACAACTATTTCGAATTGATCACCCACATGCATCGACTAATTAGTTCATATATATATATATATATATATATATATATATATATATATATATATATATATATATATATATATATATATGGACAGATGAAACCAGAAGTTCAATGCTTGACTGGCGTCAACGCTTTGGTATTATCCATGGTATTGCTCGAGGTATTCTTTATCTACATCAAGATTCTTGCCTTCAAATCATCCACAGAGATCTCAAGGCAGGCAATGTCTTGTTGGATAGTGAAATGAATCCAAAAATATCTGATTTTGGGCTTGCTCGAAGGTTTGTTGGACAAGATACCATGGACAAGACAAAGAAGGTGGTTGGAACATAGTAAGAATCTATAAAACATCGCCTTTAGATTACTTTTAATGTGTCCTCCTATAGAAAAAGATGGGAAAGATACAAAGAAACACGAAACTCTGTTACTAATTAATTAACTGAATTTGGCACTAGTGGTTACATTTCTCCCGAGTACGCAGTCCATGGGAGATTCTCTACAAAGTCAGATGTATTTAGCTTTGGAGTTCTAATGTTGGAGATTGTGAGTGGAAAGAAAAACAGAGGGTTCTCTCATGAAGGTCAAAGTGACAATCTTCTTGGACATGTAAGTTAACCGGTTAAACTAACTCCCACTATTTGAACGGGAAACTAGTGTTTTCATTAACATCTCCCCTAGCATACTTATATGAAGTCTGTTTCATTTAGTCTTGGAGACTCTATATAGAGGACAATTCTATTGAACTCGTGAATGCATCTATACGCAAATTATGTGTCATCTCTGAAGTACTACGGTCGATACATGTTGCATTATTATGTGTGCAACATCATGCAGAAGATAGACCAACCATGTTGTCAGTGGTTTTGATGCTAACTAGTAATGGTGTATTGCCTCCACCTAAAGAACCAGCTTTTTGGAGTGAAGAAAGTTATCGTCAACTTGGCTCTGTTTCATCGATGGATGAATGCATGCTAACACTATTGTATGCTACATAGAAAGAAAACATGTGTGCATGCCATATTTTTTAATACCCAATGTCCACAAATCTACCTATCATCACCTTTTGTTGCTTTTATTTTGCCGTTAACCATATCTTCATCGTATGATTTGTATGTAGCATATAATAGTGTTAACGTTATGTTATAATCACACTCATACTTTGTAGACAAATCTGGATCTACCTATCATAAAGTATTTTTTCCGCTTTATCTTGCATTAAATTTTGCACTATCTAAATGTTGTTTTAAACTTTATGGTTGCCATATGATAAATTTTATATGAAGGATTGACAGAATTATGGGTCATGCATATCTTCATATGAAGCTTATATATCATGTTTACCACAGTAATGATAGAATTGGTCGTTAAAATTTTTGACAAGTAACCACTTAGCCTTCAAAGTTCAAAATGAGCAAATTAGATGCCCGAAAAAACTCAATTGTACCTCTTTGGCCAGTAAGACAAACCATTCCAGCTCCATCCAGTTTCTATCCTAGGTGACGCCCATGTAGCATTGGGCTAACATCTGATCAAGGTAGTCCTCTTGATAAAATATAAACAAGCTAATCTACATAGATAGATAAAGTTGTGTCAAATCCATAAGTAAGGATTTAGCAATACAATGTGTAACATCCTAAATTTCGAGTCCAAAAATTTCTTTTAAAAACAATACTAATTCATAGCGTCAAGTCATTCAAACATACAAAAAGGGTTTATATGACAAATCATAGTTTCATTTCCAAAACACTTGTTTAATTATCAGAGTAAACATCCCATGCTAACTTGTCATGGTGTGTGCACTCCAACCCTCTCGAGCTCCTTTTTGTAAACTGAACACCTGAAACCAAAACTGAAAACCGTAAGCACGAAGCTTAGTGAGTTCCCAAACCTACCACATACCATACATATCTATTGATCCATACATGTTATACATAACACCGAGCACATAACCACATACTGGGCTCCTGCCCGTTACATTGGGCCTCGCCCGCTATCGGACTCTATCCGCCACCAGGCCCCACCTGGCTTCAAGCCCCACTCGGCGTACAAATATGTTTTCCTTAGGCCTCGCCTGTCTCCGGGCCCCGCCCACTAACATATACTAGCATACAATTATATCACAACACATAACTAACATACTCTACTTGATTACTGTGCTAAGGCCTCGCCTATCTTGGGCCTCGCCTCTATCTTGCTACTGATGAATCATAGAACCCCGTCCACGCTCCTACTGACAGTGAGATACAGGCCCAGCACACACTCACTCTTTTCCTAACTTGGGCCTCGCCTCTGCTCTACTGCTAATGAGGTATGGAACACCATCCACACTCTGCTATTAGTGAGATACGGAACCTCGCCCACACTCACCTCCCTACCAGGCAATACATGTATCACACAGACAACAAGTATAACTATCATACAAACCATTCCTTGGGCACCCGCCTACTAACATTAGACCTTAGTCCCGAATGTCATACTAGCATACTGTGCCTACGGGTAACCCCCAGGTCTTCCTACTCATAACTACATGGGTTGGCATTGTGGCTATAGACCCATTCACACAAAGGGAAACTCACTTGCACTGCTGAACTTTGCTGATAACCCTCTGGATGTTGTCCGACCACTCTTCGAACTGCTACTCCACTAGTTCCCCGAGCTACTAATATCAAAATAACACTTAGCTCCAAACTGAACTTTAGAAGTCAAACTAAGTCAACTCTGGTCAATGTCAAAGTCCTGGTCAAAGTCAACCTTCCAGTCGACTCGACTCGCTGAGTCAACTCATAGACTCACCGAGTTATTAAACTCAGAAACTCTCAAAATACTAATCAACTCGCCGAGTCACCCCAAGACTCGTCGAGTTCAACGATCTCTGAGTCCCATCCTATCCAACTCACTGAGTCACTACTCAACTCACTGATCTGTGTCTTAACCAGGAAAGGTTGAGGTTCTGCGACCAGAGTTGCCGAGTCCAAGAACAGACTCGCCGAGTCCGAGGCAATCTTCATTAGACTTACCGAGTAGTTCTTCAAATCGCCAAGTCCATGCTCATGTTCATACAACTCGCCCAGTACACCCATGTGACTCGCCAAGTCTATTCAGCTCTCAATCCATACAGTGGCTTTTCGATCCATGCAGGGGCTCCAACCCATAGATCCACTCTTCTAATGTCTAACCCCCATGTAAAGTTGCAAACTTTACGTGAAACCATGGAGCTAAAGGCCCAAAACACTCTAGGTCTAGGGTTTAAGACAAAGGGGCTTCACCACTAACTCATTGACTGCTGCTTTAAGACATTCTGGACCATCACAACCCTAGATCTGAAGTAGCAACCTCGGATCTAAGCCCCAAACCCGAAATAGATCTCAATCTTACCAAAATAGCCCCAAAATGTCATTCAAGAATAGATCTAATTGCAATAAAGCCAAAGCAACAACTTATTACCTCACGAATGACTTCCCACTGAAGAATAATCCAACTTTTTACAAATCCCCTTGCTCCAAGCTTCTTGATCTTCAATATCTCTTCACAAAACCCCCTTATCTAAGCTCCAAAATTGCTTCCAAGGACTCTCACTCACGATTTAGGGTTTCTGGATCTCGAAAGGGGAGTAAAGAGGTTGAGGAAGGGATGTAATGCTCTTTTAATAGGGCATAACCCCTGGGATTAGGTTTTTTCTCATCCAGACCAGACTCGCCAAGTCCAATAGCCGACTCGCCGAGTCGGTCACCTACTTTATGCCCGGAATCCCGCTCCGACTCGTCGAGTTCCTCCCCGGACTCGATGAGTTGATTCTTAACTTAGAGCTTTTCCTTTCTTTTCTTGGTCTTTTTGATTCTGGGTGTTACAACTCTCCCCACTTAAACTTGACTTCATCCTTGAAGTTCGCTACGGCCATCTGATCTGCAATCCGCTCGCATCACCCATAACTAATGAATATAACTCCGGTCGATCACTTCCATGGACCTTCCGTCCGGAAACTTAGAATAAAACTAGTCCTTGTAGATATGAATCCTCAAATGCACTCTAATCCCGCCAATCTTGAGCACACAAATCACTCAACTGACAATCCTTCCAATACTCCCCGAGTACTTATGCTGAAATCCTAGGGGTTCACCCCCTTTTTCCTTGCACGCTTTCTGGCCTTTCCAAGGCAAAATTCTACCACGAACCACTTCCTCTACCACCACGAAAGACATATCCTTCATGGTATCCATCACTCCAGCCACTCCCAGTGCTGGTCACTACTGCCGATACCTGCGAAACACTTCAGGCTACAATAACCTAGCGCTGAGCTCCCAGCCCAACGTATGGATCAGATAATCCTTCGAGTAAAAGATTCATCCCTATAACGGTTAGACTCCAATGAGAGCTGTGCAACAGGGTCAAACCCTTCTGTGACATCCCCATTTCACGTCCAAAAAAGACCGATTTTGTTTATGCTTTATAAAAACCAGAGTTCTTCTTTTAATAAAAATGTTGCAGAATTCGTTCCCAGAAAAACACGATAAATACGTTATTAAAACATTTCGAAGAAACGTATTTTATTCATTTTAAAACGTTTGGGATGTCATCGTCAATACAGGAACATAAGCATAAACAGAACTTACATTTATTTACACTAGTGATCTACATCTCTTTAATCTCTCAGTGGAATGTGACTTCATATCAACACCTATGATATAAATAAACTGAATGGGTCAGGTTGGGAAACCTTGTGAGTATATAGGGTTTTCAACCCACAATAATATAATTATTATGTTTAAACAATCAAACAATCAACCCAATTACCCATCCTCATTATCTTCTTTACTCTTAAGGATTTATCCTAAGAGTCATCTATTCTGCATTCGTTTATTCCAAAGTCCCTTACTTCCAGGGTTATAGGACTGACACTAAATCTATAGCTACCAATATTCGTTCATAAAGCACTAATTCCATAGCTGCTATAGTCTATTCGTCGGGTACTAAATCCATAACTACCAGTGTTTATCTAATAGGTACTAAGTCCATAGTTACCAATTCCTTAACAGGTACTAAATCCATAGCTACCGGTGTTTGTCCAATAGGCACTAAGTCCATAGCTGCCAATGTTTATTAGTTAGGCACTAAGTCTATAGCTGCCAATGTTTACTCACATCATCTTTTATCTCTCATGATTCATCTACCCGTATCATACCCAACATATTCATGTATATAAAATATGTGTACAGTTTAAATCATCTAAAACATGTATAAAAATGTTTATCCAAAATAGACAGCAAGTATACAGATAATATGCACACATAGCACGTAGTTTATATAAAATACTTCATATCTATGTGTAAGATGAAAGTAACTATACACTCACCTGAGAAGGTGGTGACTCGGTACTCGGATATCGCTTCGTTTACTTTAAAATAATTTTCTTCGACGAAATCTAGTATTATCACCACTAGATTTTAGTCTAATATTTACCGTGACTAATTATTAGTCTAGCCATTATTCCTATTATATAAGCGTTAAACAAATACTTATATAACCCGTAATAATAGCCCAAGTATTTATTATAAGTTCATAATAATGTTACTATAATTAAATAAAAGCTATATTAAAAATAGCGTAGGCGTAGCTCACTTACAACGGGTTTTATAGAAAACCAGGCTTTTCTTGGAGCAGTGTTTCCAAGCCAAAAAACTCTTCTTCTCGGAGCCGTCGAGCACTCCGGGGCTTCCTCCTCGTGCTAGGGAGGTTCCCTAGGCTTTTCGGGGGATTTCGGGGCTAGAGAGAGGTTCTAGAGAGAGAGAGTAAAGAGAAGAAAGAATGGGAAAGGTGTGAAGAAAATGAGGGTGGGAGAGGTGGTATTTATAGGGTGAAAATGGCTGAACTTGGTGCCACATGTCACCATCTAGTGGCAAGAGTTGTGGAGAAAGCAATGGCCAAGATTGTGTCACATCACCCATTTTGGCACAACACACTTCTGACTTCTAAAATTCGTAACTTTCACATATGACCTCCGTTTTTGGTGTTCTTTATATCCACGTGTAGGTAAATATAATATCTACAACTTTCATATTGACTCCGTTGGATAATTCTCGACCGATCTTAAATTTTAACAGTACGAGGCGTTTAGACTGTTAAATGACCGCGAAGAATTCGTAACTCCTTCAT